TGACATGATTGTAAACTTTTAAAAATAAATAAACGTAGACGACTATTCCCATATCGATAGCTCCAAGAACCGATAAGCAACTTAACTTATCCATTTCAATCGATAGGCGGGTGCTTTTCATTATCGATATCATGATTGTCGCTTAACCCCATATCGATAGCTCAATTAATCGATCAATTTCCCTATGAATTGCGAATGAGATACATTTACATCCATGTATCTATCTACATACACCAATGCACGCAGATATCATTGATATTCCAGTGCGATTTTATGTAGAGATGCATTCGATGCGCTTCAGCTTCAGCTGCAATTCGTTGTGCGTGACCCCAAAGCCAACAGAGCAGCAGACGGCTAAGACATATATCTTCATGATGATTAAGCTGATGTTGCCGGTCATGATGATGATAAAGATGATGATGATGATGATTACAGAAAGAACCGCAAGAGCTAATTGCTTATGCACAACGCATAACCTTGCCACTTCATGTGATGTCTTGCTTCGCTGTGCATTCACACTTGACGGCAGTAAACCCTTTCCAGTGACTGCCAAGACTGAGGAGGAAGAAGAAGAAGCAGCAGCAGCAGAAGTCATAGAAGAAAACTTTCATCTTGGGTTAATTGAAAATGCAGCGTAATGCCCCAGCAGAAAACGACAGCTGCTGTGGATAAACGGGGAAAACGGCAAAACAGCGACAAGAAAATAAGAAAAAACCAAGCCAAGGAAAAACACACATCAAATAATATAATTATTTCTCTAGACTTTTATACCTGTGTGTGCGTGTGTGTGTGTGTGTGTGTGAGAGAGAGAGGTTTTTCACTTTGCCTTTAAGCTGCGATTTATTAGTGAGCTGTGCGTCCAGATTTCCGCATGCTTTTTCAACCGTGAATAAGCACGAACTTTCATTTTAAAATTCTAGAAGCGCACGCCCCAAGCACCACGCCCCTACCCGCTAAGCCCCGCTCTGCCCCGCTCTGCCACGCCCCATTTCAAGTAGTGTCAATTTGTCGAGTTGTGCATTAAAAATGAGACCAACGAACCGACTCTCAGCTCTGCTTCTTCTGCTGCCCAAATCAACATCATCATTAACAGTTCCCGTATATATGGGGCTCTTCTTCATGGCCAACAATTTTCTCTGGAAACTTTCATGGCTGCTAGCTTTGGCTTAATTCTAATGCCTAATGCCTAATGCCTAATGCCAAATGCCAAATGCCGACCCGACCTGTAACGTGCCTGGAAATGGAAATGGAAATACAAATGCGACATAAACAAGTTGAGAATTGCATGCATATGATTTACTAATTGAAATTCGTAGAAAGTTTCTTCTTTCTTGTCTTTCGAAATTGGCGAACCAAGTCTTTTTGGGCAAACTTCAGCTAAATCAAAATCTATTACAGTGAACGCTCGCAAGTCGAAACGCTTCAAAAATTAACATTATTTATTTACTCACTTTATATATATTATATTTTTATATATTCAAAAATTCGTATCGTACAGAGAATGAAAGTTAACACTTTTACCGAGACCATTCTATTATTTGAGAATCCAGGCTCAAATCCAAAGTATAATAATTGCAGAATCTCTAAACTTAAATAAAACAACTCAAGATTGTTTATTGTCTTTTGACCTATACAAGTTTTTGGTATCCGGGTTCAGATCTGTTAATGAGTGTAGCCTTATTTTGTATAGATACTAATTATAATTCGGGCAGTTCTACTTATCGAGCGCTCACTGTATAACACTTTCGCTTTTTTTTATTCCAATCCTTAGTATAACAATGTAGATATGTTTACAGTGTTCGGTTCCGAATTTCAGTCTGTTAATAAATGGAGCTTTTTGTTTTTTGGAAGTTTCTAACACTAGTATAACACTTATTTTCGTACAAATCTTAAGTATAATAATTTTAGGTATTTGTGTTAGTGTCCGGGTTTAAATCTCAGTCTGTTAATGAATATAGCCTCACGCTTTATAGACCAGAATATTTAATACGAGAATATATTCTGTACTAATTAGATAACTAATTATAGTAATTTCTACGCTTTAAGCTCTCACTGTATAACAGATTCAAATTGTTTCATTCTAATCTTGAGTATAACAATTTAAAGTATATATTCGAGGTCTTCGGGTTCGAATTTCAGTCTGCTAATGAATGGAGCTATATGTATTTGGTGGTTCTACGCTTCGAGCGTTCACTGTATAACACTTTCGATTTGTTTCGTTCCAATCTTAAGTATAACAATTAAGGTTTTTTTTTTCGTTTTTGTTTTAACTTGTGAAAGTTTTCGTCCAAGTGTCAAATCATTTGGCCATTCCAATTCCATTCTGTTTTTGTTTTTTTTTTCACGCCTTTTTCTTTTACTTTTCCGTGTGCGTTTAACAGATAGTCGTCGCACTTGTTGCTTTGCGTGTTCCCCTAGTTGATTCTCTGTCGAAGGCCAGTTGTTCCGTTTGATTGAATCAATTTGCCACTTTGCTGTGGCACGTTGCGCTGTGCTCCGCCCCCCCTTCCCCCGCCCATTCAAGCGAGAATTTCAGATAAGCGCGTTCAGTTCTGACAAACATGGGGAATTTCGCAACATGCCATGTGAGCTCCAGAGTTGTCAACCTCGTGCGATGCCCACGCAATCGGTTTTGACTCATGCGCCGATGTGTGTTCCACGAAAGCCTTTCAATTGGATAACAATAGGTCTATATGGCAGTTTATCTGGCATAACCACCCGCGGTCAGGAGATAGCTGAAGCTTATGCAGCCAACAAATTGGTTATGACTCGGCCAAAATGAGTCATCGACAATAAAACTCGGATTATGTTCGCCAAACCAAGATTAAGTGCCCTATAAAGGTGGACACGGGTGTACATATGCCCTTGCAGATAAATTGGGGAAGATCTGCAAGTTTAAGTTTAGGTATTTTGCTATTGTGCTTGAAAATTATAATCAGGTTATTTCTAAAAAAACAAAAACAAACATTTCATATAGTTACAAGCAGAGATGATTCCATTTGGAACTCCAAAGCCCAAAAGAAATAGTCGCTGGTTCTAATTACAATTCAAGAAAATTCCCTTAGTTGCGGTTTGTTTCGTGAATTCGGTTATGGGCCCAGTTTCTAGTTCAAATCTTGTTTACTCTTTTAAATATTCTCAAACTTCGGCTAAAGTTGATCTTTGTCCAATAATTGGCATCTACTAAATCAGATGAAGTTGTTGGTGTTCAGGGGTTAAATCTCCTTTAAAAGTTTTTCACTTCGAACTCAGGTGTTTTTGAATAAGAAATGGTTCGTTTTCGGTTTCTTTTCTGTTTTTTTTTTCAATTTAGTTTTCAAGTATTTCTAAGAGCTCTGTATTCCAATGGATTTCAAGCACATTCATAAAGTCAAATCTTTTAAACAATTCTAATAGCTGCGGATCTTACACTGAGACAAAAGCAGCATGCACATGTGTGGCATAAAGTTCGGCAATATTGTGGCCAATTTATGCTACGCATAAAGTCAAAGTAGCCTTTCCTTCGTTTAGGCTGTAAAATGGGTGAAGGTTGTCCAGTTTTGACGCCTTTTCTTTTTTGACATGTTGTTGTTGTTTATTCTCTCTGTATATTATGGCAATTCAAGCCCCCTCTAGCACCGCCTCTGGCAGTTTAAGCCCCCTCCAGCCACGCCTCTGCGTGCCTCTGCGTCTTTATGGGTTTCTGGCTTCTTTAATGATGAGTCTTTTATTTTGGCTTGTCGTTTCGCTGGTTTCTTTCGCCGGGATCGGGGACGGGGATGGGGCAGGGCCGGGGCATTGCGTAAGCCTCGGATGACACCAGCTTTTACTTTCCTTTTGGGCCTTTGCCGAGGCTAAATTAAATGTGAACAAAAATAAAATAATGCAATTTGAAGATGATGCGAATTTGAATTTAATGCGAGGAAGTAGACAAAAAAAAAATGTTTTATTTTTTTTTTTAACTTACAATTAAAAATTATAAGCTCGAGTTTTTTTCCAAGCGCATTTGCATAAATTAATGTAAGAAAAAAAAAGTTGTTAAAATAAACAACAAAAAAAAAAAAAGATTAGAAAAAAGTCGAGGCAAATAATTCATTTCTTTGCTAAATCTAATTAACATGCATATGCATAAGCGGATTTCAGCTTGGCAACCTCGCAAAAAATATAAATAAATACATATACATATACATATGCATATATAATATATATGTATGTATATTTACTTATTTACATACTCAACCTACGCACACACACACACGCACAGCGAGAGAGAGAGAGAGAGAGAGAGAGAGAGAGAGAGAGAGAGAGAGCACTGTTAAGTGAAGAAAAAACTCACGCCATCGCTTATTTATGTACACACACACACACACACACGCACACACACATTAAACAACAAAAAAGTTCATATATGAAAAAAAAACGCTTTATAAATAATATATGTAAAAACGCATAAACTAAATAATAAATATAAAGCATCGTCCAATGTGTCCAACGTTGCACAGTGGTTCACAACTGCAAGAAAAAGCAACGAAAACAAATGTTTAACTTATGTGGCAACTGTTTCTATTTTGAAATTTCTTTTACAATTTATCAATTAAATTTATTTAATTTAAAGCATTTTCAATTATGAATCAAATATATTTATGTGTAATATAAATATGTATATGCAATATATATGTATATATATATATTTATATGTAATATACTATGGCATAATTGAACTTACTTTAATTAAGATTGTAATAATATTGTTTGCTTTAAGTTTTCTCTAAAAATATAAGATCATAATTCGAAGAGGTACAAATTTCTCACAACTCGTACCACTGTGCAATGGGCGTGCTTTTCTGAAATTTGCAAACGCGCCGACCAAAAGTAAATCGCGATAGAAGTTTTGTTGTTTTTACCTAATTTCGGAATGAAGAAAAACGCAAAAAGAAAAACGCAAATCAAGTTGAAAGTGAACGCGGCAAAAATCGAAAAACTTCATTTTGATTTTATTTTGCAGAAGAAAGTTCAACTCAAGATATTCAAAGTGAAAGAAATTAAAGATTTGAGCAAAATATAAAACTGTGTAAAATATGTAAAACATAAACAACAACAACAACAACAACAACAGCAACCAACCACAGGCGCAAAGCTAAACGATCAAAAACAAAGCAAAACAACAAACAACAAAAAATAAGCAAAAGTGACTGTGAATAATGTTGAGAGCGCCCACACAGCACATTGTGGAACTGGGTTTCGGTACAGCGACAGCAGCAGCAGCGGCCGCCACAAACGAAAAGCAACAACAGCGCAAAAGTTTACTGCAAAAGCTCAAGCAGCAGCAGCAAAAGCTACACAAGCCATTGTCAGCGGCAGCGACGTCAGCGGAAGAGAAGACGGAGACAAATCAAAAGAGAGCAGCGCGAGCAGCAGCTGATTATTATTTTAAGCAGCAGCAGCAGCAGCAAAGCGAAAAGTGTTTGTTATTGCTGGCAACAACAATTACAACAACAGCGGAGCAGCAGCCGCAGAAGAAGAAGAAGGAGCACACTAGCTATAGCTTTGCAGCTGCGCTGCGGCGCAACAAGAAGCCAAAAACAACAACAAGCACAACGGCAGCGGCAGCAGCAGCGACAGACGACGACAGCAGCAGCAATCAAAGCTGTCGCAGCATTAATAGTAATAACAAAAACAACAACAGTTTGTCTAATAGTTGCATTAACAACCATAACAACAACACTCATTATAAAAACAGTAAAAACTGCAGCGGCAGCGGCAGCAACAGAAGCAGCAGCAGCAGCAACAACAACTACATAAGTAATTACAATTTCAAAACAAGTGAGCAACAAGCGTGGAAAACAGTAACAGCAACAACAGCAGCAGCTGCACAACAACAGCTGCTCATTAACAGCAGCAATCGACGCAAAAGCAGCAACAATAACATACATAGCAGCAGCAGCAACAACAACAGCAACATGTCACCCACATCGCAGGCACCAACACGAACATCTCTGTTCGATTCCTGTCATCGCAAGATCCGTCTTATTGGCGGCGGTCCAGTTGCCTTCTTGGGCGGCTTGGTGGCGTAAGTTGTTAACATTTTTCCATTTGCTACTTTATTACATGCAACTCTTTAGATATGGTTAAACATCTTTTCGCCTCTGAAAATTAACAGCTAACCGTGGGATTATTGGCAACAGTGTCTATAAATCCATACACGTCCAATTAGACCTATGTAATGATATATTTTAACAACAAGCATTTAATAATTCTTATTGGGATACATGCCTGTTGAATTGATCTGCTTGAATATGTTATTCAGATGTTATCAACATTCTTCCATGCTCTGTACGATAATGTTGAGGCTCTGCTAACTTTAAGTGCTCTAAAAAATCTAGTTAGACGACACAAAAGTGATTAGAATGGAAATACAACAAACTTAATGTGGCCAAAGGTCAAACGAAACAGAAACCCAGACTTTTAAGAAAGATAAATAACATTTGTGTCTTATTTACTCAGTTTTATGACTTTTAATTACTATCATTTCTCAGGCGGCTTTTGTTTTTTGTTTAAAGGTAACCACTAAAAGCTCTTTGTAGTGCAAATTCAAGGCTTCCGAGACAATTAAAATATCTAAAAAACAAAAAAAAAAAAAAAGAGTTAAATGAGACACAAAAACGCAAATAGGCCTGAAAAGCGTTTATTTGAAGGTCACCAAAGCGTGTATTGTTAACACAGCACTGTTACGGCACTGTTAATGTGCCTTCCTTTAACAGTGCGCTGTTAGCAAATGTATCTTTTGTGCTGTTTGTTCGCTTGCATTAACGGATTTGGAAAGCTTCCGCGTTTGCTCAATTTGGTATTAGGGCCAGCACCAAAATAAGCGTTGGCAAACAAATTTAATAAGTAGTTAGTTTCTTTGTTGTTTTTTTTAGAATGCAAAGTTAAATGAACTCAACGCGCGCTCAAGATGAATATGAAGATGAACCCCCAACAAAGCGTTGACTCTGTCAACACGAAAGTGCGCTGAACTGATAATTAGTTAGAAATGTAAATATTGACTGAAGTGAGCGCGCATAAAATACGTAACACGCACACAGGCGCAAGGAACGTGAAGAAGAAGAGGAGAAGTGAGCGAAGGAGGCACGTTGTCAACTGCCGCTCTCTCCCTCTCTCACTCTACACACACGCACGCACGGAGAACAAACTTTGCCTAACGGGGAATTAAGTAAAGTTTTGTTGTGGTCGCCTTAATGCATGCAGCTAGCTCTCTCGCTCACGCATATTGATTGGCTGCGCGCGTTTAAGTATGTGCGTGTGTGTGTTGGAAAACAATGACTATATGTATGTGTGAGGAGCAGAAGAACAGGCAAGAAGAAGCAGCGTAAGCACGTAACAAGTCATTTGTTAGTGCAAGAGGAAGAGCGAGCAGCAGCAATAGAAACTGATGATGATAAACCTGTCAATGGCAGAAGACAAAATTTGCATAATAATGTCTTCAAGAAGTCGAAAAATTGTTGAATAAAAAATGATGTAAACAAAAAAAGAAACGAAATGAAGAAGCAGACAAAAAAAAAACGCCTAAAAATATGACTGCATGAATAAGAAATCGACATAAATGAGTAATATTGTGTCTTGCCAGTTGCCAGTCATTCAAACGACTCATTGTGTGCATTTTGTTGCTAACTGTACATTGTGGGTAAGGGGAAGGGGGGCTTGCGGGTGCTGTGGCTAATTGAATGCCGCCAAGCGACAAACTCTGAAGTTTTTTTTTGTGGCTCTTTAGCATTGAGATTTGAACAATTCGCAAATTGAAAGTCCAAATAGATTTTATGAAATCCATGTTAAAATTTGTGTTAGGCACACATCAAATTGAAGGCTGCTGACCCAATTCAGTGTTGTTAAATGCTTTTATATAGCTGTTTGTTAACAGTGGAAAAGCATTTGGATACATTCGATTTAATATTCCTGCAAAAACTAATAAGACTTAGAAAAACCCTCTGGCAGGCCACACGTTTACTTAAAGAAAACCTTTTTTTTATTCGTTTGCAATTTTCATGCACTGCGATAATTTACTTTAGCTTAGGTAGAAAGTTTGTAAGCCCTTAAAAAAGTGCTCCATACTTGCATTATTTAAGTTAACAGCTGACCCCAATTTCGCTTAGTCTCCTGCCAATAAACTGGACATACATTTTTTATGCGCTTACTTGCACTTTTTCAGGTGTTTCAGTGTGTGTGTGTGTGTGTGTGTGTGTGTGTGTGTGTGTGTGTGATTTACTCTCGAGTTTATCCGTGTCTCTCGTTATTTATCAGCTCTTGGTCAGGGCAAGGCTACTTTCTTTGTTGGCAAAATGATTACATTTCCTGCTGCAGTTTATAACACTGTATATGTGATCAGTGTTGTGTAATTGACTGTTAACTGGGAACGTTTTTATATTTTGGAGCTTAAATCTTAAGTAAAGCATGCTCAGACTTAGTTTTTCACTTTTTCGAAACCATCCTAAACCTCTTAAAATTACCTAATATTTCGGAATTGAATTCAATTAGGTACATATCATTTTTGGGCGCATAAGATTCCAAACGATTGGTCAAAACACACAAAAGCTATTTAAGAAAACATTTTATGTAAATTTAATTGTAATTTGTGGAGTTATTTTGGACAAATTGACTGAAAATTTGCGGGACTCAATGTAAAAATACTTCAATATAAACAGTGTAATACATTTTTTCAGTTATATTCTAGATCTTTAATTCTTGTCGCTTGCCAGCTTAACTTCCCCTTAAAAAGTTGCCCAACACTGGCAGTGGCAAATGTTAAATGTACAACACTGAAAGCTTGCGCTTATCTCAGGTGGCCATTGACCTCGAGAGTCTTAAGCGCCAACAGCTGCTCTGAACTGAACTGAACTGAACTGAACTTGAGCTCATATCTAGCAGAGATACCGATCCCGATCCCCATGCCCAAACACCTGTTGCTCCAATTGGCTTCAGACGGCGTTCATTGACATTCTGTGGGCCACTTAATGACTTCCCAAGATGGTCAGATGGTCACAGCTGTTGTGTGCCAAAGAGACAAAGGCTTTCAGATAATGCTAAAATTAGTCGAGTCAGAAGGCGTATCAAAGTTTTTCCTCCTCCTCCTCCTCCTCCTCCTCATCATCATCATCGCCAGCTTCTTCTTGTTCACTTTTTGCTGCAACTGTTGCCAGCTCCAGATTAAGCCCCAAGACATGAGCAAGATCAACGATGTAGAACGTTAATACCGGATGCCACAAGCAGCAGGAACTACACAGTCTGCAGAAATGCCATAGATCGCGCAAATGTCTTGGCTGTTGTCTCAGGCTGTTGCCAAGGCCTGCTTGTAGAGTATCTTAAAGATACTTTTTGAATTCTTTTTTGAAAAGTTTCTATTTCTTATGGTTTTATATTTAAACTTATTCTAATATGAAAATGAATTCACAATTTCAATTGTCTCTCTCTCCCTCTCTCCCTCTATCTCTCTCGTTCTCTTCTCATTTAACACAAGATATGCTTCTTAGTGCAACGCTTTATATGTATCTGAGACTTAAATTCAATTTAGTTTTGGTTTTTCTCTGCGAATCGGATTTTATTCAAATGTCGTTTGTCTCTTCTATTAACGGTAATTATGCATAAACAATTGTCATAAAAACAACTGGATAAATCCCACCCCCCACCCCTCTCTCTGGGGTCACACTGGCAACGGTAGTCGGGCCAAAAAGCGTTAGTTGCTCTTGTTCTTGAGCGTAATTATTTGTCCATTAGCTCTTCGGGCAGCTGTTACAAATTTGGAACACGACTCCGCCGGGGTCTGCCCCCAATGGCAAAGCGCCAGAGGTCAACGAAAATTTCTATTTCCAAGAATCAAGCTATGGAGAAGAAGAAGAAGAAAAAAAACGATGCCAAAAATGACAATGAATTCCAATTTGAACTTGTGCTTGACCAGACTTTAAAATTGCATGTAACTGTATTTGGAGGGAAATACAATTCTAGCTGTATATCTAAATAAATTATACTTTTGCAGGTTCTTCTTAGCTATTTTCGATTAAACTTAACTTGACATACCCACCCCAATGGAACTAAGGTGTTCTTTGGTGCGACTCTTCGCTGTAACACAGCCTTATGTTACACTTTGCTGTGCGCTGTTAAAGTTAACAGTTACAGATTCCAGCTTAACTGTAATGTAATCAATTGGAGTATGTCAGTTGCGTACCAATGTTACATTTAACAGTATGTCAGTGCTCTGTTGTTAACATACATATCCGTTAATTTCGCTACAACTAGAGTTCAGTTGCGGGTGAAACTCATTAATGTTAGCATCTGTGGCACTGACAAAACATTAAAAAAAAAAGTCAGTACATGAAAAACCGACAATAATTTGTTGTAGTTTATATAAATTGCTGTTGCTGACCTAAACAGACACAAACACAATCATCTTCACTGTTTTATTTTCAATTTCACCCACATGCAAAAAAGATGCAACAAGAAAAACGAAAACAACAGTAAAAACAAAAAAATAAAAAAAACGACGCTCATAAAACTTCACCTTGAAGCTGAATGGCGCTTGCATGAGCCATCAGGTTCCGGCTGCGGCTCATTTACTCGCTACGCTTTTGCTTTTGTTTTCCCCTTCCCACCTCCCTCCATTTCTACCTCTCTAACGCTCTATCACTACCTTTTTTCTTGCTGTCTGCGCTGCTTCACGCCTTTTTTAATCCATTTAACCACATGTTATCGCCCATCAACAGCAACAACAACAACAACAACAACAACATCATCTGCTGTCTATCTACATAACATAACTGTCTAGATGCACGCCGCCGTCTCTCTTTTTAAATACTTTCCATTATTATTATTATAATTTTGTTGATTTTTACCTTCATCAACGCGACATTAACGTCGCCGCTCTCTGCATGACTCACAACTCATTACAAGCACACACACACGCGCGCTCACTCACTCACACACACACGTACGAAAGCTGCTGTCATCACGGGGCGCTCGCGCCTTCCCTCCCACTGTGATGCGTTTGGCTCTCCCATTTGGGCGTTCTCACAACGGGTGATT